GAACCAAACCAGGGACTCTCTGGTTCGTGGGCCGAGGCTCTAATTGCTGAACCAAATCAGCCAGAGCAAGTGATTTGCTTCTTGACTGCTCTAAAATGTCATTGCTGCTACATTGTAATAACATGCAGAACATTCCAGAAAAAAAAATTTGGCATAGTAGGTAAAACAAAAGGAAGGGCAGAAACATGGTAGAGTGGGAAAGTCAAAGGTTAGATTCAGGCAGGCCTGGGTTCAAATGTGGTTCGGCTATTTCAGAGCTGTGTGCCCATGGACACGATGCCTTATCCTCCAGGGGAAAGGCACAAGGCAGACCAGTGTCACTCCCTCAGCTGCTTCTCCTCCCTAGGTTATGGAGGATGGTGAGCCTTGCTGACGCAGAAATGCTTATTCCTCAGGGCTTTTATAGAAACAACTAAGATGTGACCTTGAAAGAAGGTTAATCCTGACTTCTAGCCTTCCACTGAGAAATCTTTTCCCTTATACCCATTTATAGAACCCTACACTTCTTCAGAGCTTTTTTGTTGTGGTGGTGGTTAATCCGCACCTGGGGATATTTTTCCCATTGATTTTTAGAGAGAGTGGAAGGGGGAGCGAGGGGCAGAGATCATTGTGAGAGAGACACATTAATCGGTTGCCTCCTGCATGCACCTCGACCAGGCCCAGGGATTGAACCTACAACCTAGGAACATTCGCTTGCCTGAGAATTGAACCTAAGACTCTTTCGATGTGTATGCGGATGCTCTAATCACTGAACCACACCTGCCAGGGCTCTTCAGGGCTTTTACTCCAGCTCTGGTTAATTAACTAGTCATACATATAATGCCTCTCTTCCCCACTAGGATTTACATTAAATCTCTAGAGAAGGGCCTTGCATACAGTAACCACTCAATAAGTCATTTGTAGACTAAATGAAAAACTCCGGTTATAGGGTTTCTGACTTGTGACATAAACCACTCACTGATGGTATGAAATGATTTCAGGGGTTGAACATGAACTTAATTTTTAAATATTTTTAATGGTTATATATTTTAGTATAGTAGACGATAACTGCCTCATCAAATCTATGATTTTATGTATTTTTGCTTAGATGAAGCTAAATAAAAAAATTAATTGATTTAGGGTAATAAGAAATGAAGTAAGTATAGTAGTCACAAGAACATGGCAAAAACCATGAGGGTGTAAAAGATGACAAAATTAGGGAAGTCTGCTTTCAGAATCCACGCTTATGACGTTTCAGCTGGACACTGCAACAGGCAGGTCAGCACTGAATCGAGTCAAGTCAGGCCCTAGCCGGTTTGGCTCAGTGGTTAGGGCATAGGCCCTTGGACCGAAGAGTCTCAGGTTCGATTCCAGTCAAGGGCATGTACCTCGGTTGCAGTTCAGTCCCCAGCCCTGGTTAGGGTCATGCGGGAGGCAACCAATCAACGTGTCTCTCTCACATCGATGTTTCTCTCTTTCCTCTCTCCCTCTCTCACACTCTGAAGATAAATGGAAAAATATCCTTGGGTGAGGATTTAAAAAGAACAAAAAAAGAGTCAACTCAGAGGACCAGGTCAAGCTGAGAGAGAGACCCCAGGACACATCTGGCATAAGTAAGAAGCATGCTCATTCAGGTATCTGGGTGTTATCACAGGAAATGCCAAATGTGAACTGAGCAGGAATGGGTCAGATCCTGTGGCCATATTCAAGGTCACAGCCAGACTGGCAGGAACTACCTAGGAGACAAGGCAGCCTCCCCAGGAAGGGTGTGTGGTAGGCCTGATTCATCCCCCTTAGCTTTAAAGGCATACGGGCCTGGATTCTGATATTGTTTCCTCCTAGAGGCAATTATTCCTGAGTTTACTACCTCTGTGCGAGGCTTTCTTTTGTGCATATCTGAAGGGCCGATGGGTCTCTACCCAACTCAATTTCCCAGCAAACTGAAGCAGACTGTTGCTGCTATCATCAAAGGAGACTTCCTATGGGCCTCCAACATTGAGTCCCCCTTCCCAGACCCAATGCTAGGGTGAAGAGACAATCCTGTCATTTTGGATTGGAACATACAGTGAATTTTCCCAAAGGAAAAAATGCAACAAATAGAAAATAGGTTTTGATGAATTAGTATATATAATGTTTCATATATGTTCCAGGTGATACAGGATTCTGCAAGCTAGACTGGGAACCAGATTACCAATCATACTATCACTTCACTGGGAAAATGTTTTAATACTATAAAATGAAAATCCGGGTTGCAATTTTTCCATAGTGGGTGACTACTTATACTTACGAACACAGCAAATTCTTCACTAGTGAAGTTTAACACTATCTCTCTCTCTCTCTTCTTTTGTCCTCACCCAAGGATATTTTTTCATTTATGTTCAGATAGAGTGGGAAGGAGGGAGAGAGAAAGAAACATCAATGCGAGGGAGACACATCGATTGGTTGCCTCCCACATGACTCCGACCAGAGCTGGGGACCAAACTGCAGCCAAGGTATGTGGCCTTGACTGGAACTGAAGCCGATGCTCTAACCGATGAGCCAAACTGTCCAGGGCAACACTATATATCTTTTTGTTTTTTGCATTTATCTTCAGATAGAGCAGGAGGGAGAGAAAGTGGAAGAGAGGGAGAGAAACATCAATGTGAGAGAGACACATTGAGTGGCTGCCATCCACAAGATCCCAACTGGGACCGGGACAAACTGCAACTGAGGTATGTGCCCCTAGCGGGAACTGACCCGGGGCCTCTCTGGTCCCCAGGCCAACGCTCTAATCACTGAGCCAAACCAGCCAGGACAACACTATATATCTTAAATTGTATCTTTCTTTTCACATCTTTCAGAAAAATATGGTTTTGTTATCAATTATGGGTGGTGTTCAAGTCTTGTATTATTGAAAAATAACTAATCACACTCCCGCTGTAACAAAAGAACACAATCTTTACATTTGAGGACATTTCCCTAATAAACATTTCCCAAATCAACTCCCAGCTACACCAAGTTATTCCTGGAATTAACTGAAACGACAATCCTAACTTGAACCCTGCGATACACACAGTAAATTATTCCTTATTCTGACCGTAAGCCTTTAACCCAATGTTTTCCACACCTGTCTGATGAAAAGAATTATACGAGGCACTTTTAAAAACAAGAATGCTTGGCCTCAGCCCAGTAATGAGTCAGAATTTCAAGGGACAGCCTGATAGCTGAACATTTAAAGAATGCCCATCCCTGGTGAGCCTGTCATTCAACACAGTGGTTCTTGTCCTGGAGGGTGAATGAGGGTCATCTGGAGGGCTTGTTAACACACAGGCAGCTGGGCCCTAGCCCTAGAGCTTTTAATCCAGTTGGTCTGGGGTGGGGCCTCAGAATTCGTTTCCAACAAGGTCTCCAGTGATGCTGATGCTGCTGGTCCAAGGACCACACTTCCAAAACCACTTACAGGCAAACCTCGGAGATACTGCGGGTTCAGTTTCAGATCAATGCAATAAACAGAGTATGGCCAGTAAAATGAGTCATAATCTTTTTGCTGGTAGGAGAGTCTTGCCTTCAATTTGCAAACAAAAAGCAACATCTGTGAAGCGCAATAAAAGGAGGTATGCCTGTATGTAGCTGGTTTGGCAAATATTGCAGCTGAATTCAATATTACTTTTTCCTTCCCTCCTTGGAAGAAAAACAACATTGGATTAGAACTCACAAGTGTTCCTTTGGAGTGATGCCCCTGCTACATTTTTTTTTTAAGCTGCTAGACATTAGACAAATAAATTTACCATAACACCTCGCTTATCTCTTATTATGAGGACTCAAAAGATAACATAATGGAAGAGCTTTGGTCCTGTACTTGGAACACAGTAGGCCTGCATTAAACATCTGTGTACTTTGATCTCCTTGCCATGATCCCCTCTTGTGAGCTACAGAAAAATCTGTCGAGTTCTAAAAATAGGTCTCAAAATGTATTATATGCACAAAACTGCATTCGGTTCAAACAAGCAAGCAATGGCTGACCACTTCTCCTTATGAGCAATCATGGAGCTTCGTTTGGAACATAACATGCCCAATGGGAACATACTCAGCTTCCCAACTCACTTTTTCCCATGGAAGTAAAAATAGAAAATCAGGAGAGATTAGATTACAATTAGGCTCTCTGTTTAATTTTGACCAGGCTGAATTTAGTACCCAGGTATGGGTTATTTTCCTGGCAGATCTTCATTGTATTGTTTAGCTATTTCTTATGACCTGAAAAATCAAACAAATCACAGACTCTCAGAGTCAGAGGAACCCCGAGGCCATCCACCCCCGCCACCCACTCTGTGAATGCCGCAGAAAGCACCGCAGGTGGTTGGTGGTCCAGTCTCTTCTTGGTTACCTAATGAGAATGCTCTATTTTCACGAATCCCAACCTCTTCTTCAGATAACTGTCAAATCATGAGATTTTTCCCCTCCCTTCTGAGCAAAAATCTTTACATCTGTAATTTAATATATTTGGGCTAGTTCTGCTCACTCTACAGCCCAAATACGCTGAACCTCCCCTCCACTTGACAGCATTTAAAGTATTCTGAAATAGCATCAGCATTTTCCTTGCCTGTTCCCTTTCAGCCCAAGCATTCTGTTCCCCCTTCCCCAACTATTCTCATCATCAAAATTTCCATATACTTAATAGCCCTGGTCCTCCTCTTGTGGACAAAGTCCACCTTGAGACTATTTCCTCAGTAAAAAAGACCATAACATGCTTCATGTTCACTATGTCTTACTATCACCCACAAAAACAAAATAAACGGTAAGAACAGTGGAGTCAGTGGAATGCTCCTTTCCAGAGTTCCTAAGAGCTGGGAGTTATAGTCAGACGAAAGGACGCTGTAAGGACTAGAAAGGGTTTCGGGGTGGCCTGGACAAGGTAGCCTGCAGGCAGATCTGGACACTGTGACCCTACTTGAAACAGAAACGCTGTGTTGCCCCCCTACATCACCAGAGACCCAGAAAGTTTCTTTCCAAGGAAGACAGAGGGAAACAAAGGGGTTTCTTACTTTCTACGAAACATTTCTGCAAATATGCAGCCGACACTCCAGAGGTCCACGGGGGTGGCGTAGCTGGACTGGAGCAGGACTTCGGGAGCGCGGTACCACAGCGTGACCACCTGCAACGGCAAAGGATCTGAGCGTTACTGAGGAAGACGCCGTCTGCTTCGACTCCTCATCCCGGGTGGTTCAGTGCCAAGATTCGGTTAGGAAAGGTCAGATGGGGTCACTGAGATAGAAGCAATAGGTAACTAGAACTCATCGCTGACAGGCCAGGAAATGACATCATCACCACAACCTGGGTTCCTATTTCAGACTCTGTGTGTCTACGAGGGTAAAATATCTGCGTTTCAGAAAGCAAAGACTTAAAAAAAACATCTTAAAGATGATTACTTTTTTCTTACGGGGCTTACAAAAACAATTCATGGAAAACATGGATTGGCAACGACTGCAGCTCAATTTCCAGGTGAACATGGTTGGGAAATGAGAAGATGATTCCAGTGGCTGCTGGATGGTGGCCCTGAAGCCTACAGAGCACCTAGGGGAAGTCGAAACCACTCTTATCATGAGGCTGCGGGGAATTAAAACAAAGCCTCCTTCAATGCTGATCTTTGCAGAAAACAAATGAACAAATGAACAACTTAAGAGACATGTGTAACCCAATTGTTTATCCCACGTGCAACATAGTCATCCGGAGGAAGGGATTCCAAAATGGGAAGAACCCCACTTAATACAGAGCACTATATAATAACAGATGAAACACAACTGTAATTATTTCTGCCAGGCTGAGAGGTGAGGAAAGCACATGGTTAAGGCTTCAGATTTATAAGAGTACAAGGGCTTCTTTTTGGGCGGGAGGGTGGGGCAGAGATTTTTATGGATGTCTGAAATGAAGGTGTATCCTTTATTGTCAGATAAGAAATTCCATAAATATATCCATTACATAAGCTTTTTATATTATTCAGATTCCTTTTATCCTTACTTATTCTTTTGTCTAATTGTATTTTTTGTTGAAGGCTATCTAAATTTCCTGATATTCGATGTATTTTGATGGCAGAAGCACTTTCAGATTGCAGTCGTCAGTCTCCAAAACTGACTTCCAGCTATTTCCTTATCTCCTTGTATGCACACGCTGCTTCTCCCGTCAGGCGAAGGAGTCTCGTTCACCTCCATTGAATCTGAGTTGGCCTTAGATGGTGGAAGTGATGTCTGAGACTACCAGAGCTAGGTCACAAGAATGCTGGTAGAATTCTTAAAAATCGCTCTTAAGACGCTTCCTCTTGGAACCCAGCTGCCCCGCAGTGAGAAGCCCACAAACATGTCTGGTTGACAGCTTCAATTGAGCTCTCAACTAAAAGCTGTATGAGTGGACCATCCTGATGTTCCAGCCCGCTTGGTCCTCCAGATGACTGGCCCCTGCCAACATCACTTGGAGCAGAAGAACTACCCAGCTGAGTCCATTCAACCCCCAGAATTGTAAGTGATAATAAAATAGCTGTTGTTTTAGGTTTTGGGGTGATAATATAGCAGTATCTAACAAGATTCTTGACTGGTTCCTGTTCTTTATCTCATTTATGAGCACGTTTGGCTTCAAATTCATGCTAAGGTTCAAGTTTTATTGAAGGGGCAGCTAGTTGACATTTAATAGAGAGATCGTGATGTAATAGATATTTAAAAAGAAAAAAACAAAAACAAAACCACAATACCAAAACAATGTTACTCGGTGGTCATTTGGCTCCAACGTATCTTTCTAGCATCATTTTCCATAGTATGTCCAGTTCCTTACAGATGAGTCACATCTGAGACCACACTACCGGCTCTCAACCCTGACAGCACATCAGATCATCCATGGGGCTTTTAGGAAAACACAGGTGTCTGGGCCTTATTATCTCTTCTTCTTCTTTTTTAATTCTTCAGGTAACTATAACCCTTGGTTAAGTCTGAGCACCATTCAATTACACACACACATCCTCCAGTCATGCCTCCATCCTTCTGTAGACACTGTTCTCCTGGACTGAAAAGCCCTCCTCTCTCCTCTTCACACGTGGAAACTCTACTGAGCCTACAAAGCCCAGCTTTGATGCCACTGCCTCCCTGAAGCCACCGTCCCCTGAAAATCCTACCTTGTAACATAGTTCCTAAGAAATATAGTTTGTTATAATTCATAAGAAATATGGCTTGTTCTAGAGGGTATGGATCCAATTTTATCCATTGTTAGGCCTATAAACGTCCACCACAATACTGTACACATTACAATTGGGGTTTCACAAATATCAAATTAACCATTTCAAGGTAATCATTCCTAAAAGAGAGCTGGGCAAAATTCAATTACCAGTCATTCCCCAAAAAGGAGGTACTTACTACTTTTGCTGAGTAGAGTGTCCAATTCTGAGCACTAGTTTTTACTTAAAATTGATTTCTGCTTTACTGATATTTTTAGCTGGAGGTACCCTTACTTCCCTACTTCTCTGATACACTGTAAACAAAAGTGCAGGTGCAAACTCCCATCAAGTTCCACTCGAGTGGTCTATAGTCATACACAGACACTGTGAGGGCACACACTTATCTTCTCACCTCAATTTGAAATAAAGTCTGGCATCATATGAAATGCTTAGTTTGAATATAGCATTATTTTAGGCTGTTCTAAAGAGGCTGTGATTTCTGATTGATTACCTGTCCAAAATCACTTTAGTAGCACTATCTTCATTTTCAGTACTTTAATTAGTGCTACTTATTAATAAGTCATCAAATAAATGTTTAGACAGCTTAAAATTAGAACAATATTGATATGTTTATGAAGTTCCCTTCCATTCCTCTTACTTATTTTTTCTTTTTTTCCTACAGAGAGAAAGGAAAAGGGAGAAAGAGAGAAACACTGATGTGAGGAAAGAAACACTGATCGGCTGCCTCCCATACGTGCTCCAACCAGGAATTGAACCTGCAACCTGGGTATGTGCCCTGACCAGCAGTCGAACCCTTGACCCTTTGGTGCATGGGACAACGTCCCAATCTACTGAGCCACACCTGCCAGGGTGCTTTCATTCCATTTAGAATTTAGTTACTATTCAAAGTGGATAATGAACTCAATGTCTTATGTTTACTGACAATGACCATATGATCATTCTCTTAATAATATATATGCATTACATTAATAGATTTCCTAATATTGTCCGATCCTTACCTTCTTAGAAAAAATAATTCCTAATCATGGTTTATTATTCTTTTAATAGTCTCTTGGATTCTATTCGATTATATTTATTTGGGATGTTAGCATATTCATAAGTGAGACTGATCCACAGTTTTTTGTGTGTTAATTATTCATGTTTTCATATTAGGGCTAGGCAAACTTTCTATCCTTTTCTATATTCTGAAATATTATAAACAACATAAGCATAATCAGTCCCATAACGAGACTTACTTTTAAAGCCATCCAGGTCTGGATCTTTCTTAGCAGTGTGTCTTTAACCATCTTGTGACTGTCTTCTTGGCAATTAGCTTCAACCTCTTTTTGAGTCAATTTTGCTAATGACAACAAATTTCCCTATGAAAATATTTAATTTAGATTTTAAAATGTATTGGCTTAGCCCTGGCCGGTTTGGCTCAGTGGTTAGAGCGTCGGCCTGCGGTCCTGAGAGACCCGGGTTCGGTTCCCGCTAAGGGCATGTACCTCGGTTGCAGTTTGTCCCCGGCCCTGGTAGGTTGTGCGGGTGGCAGCCACTCGATGTGTCCCTTTCACATCTCTCCCTCTCTCTGTTCCACTCTCTCCCTCCCACTCTACCTGAACAAAAAATGGAAAAATGTCCTCCGGTGAGGATTAAAAAAAAAAAAGTATTGGCTTAATTTTGTACATGTATTTCTTATAATTATTTTAATATCATCTGTTTCCTTGGTTTTCTGAGAAAATTTGAATGTTATATATTTTTGTTTTCACTTTATACCAGTCACATTGATTAGCTTAGCTATATAATTTATTGTAAAAAATGACATGCACTCTTCTTTCCATTTTGGGAGGATTATGGTTTTCTTTTATAATTTGTTGACTTCTACTTTTTTCATTTTTGTTAATCTCTAAACTTTTTCATTTGTGTTAATCTTTGAATAATATATAATTTAAAGACTTGAATCTTTAATAATATTATTAATTTTCTCTTAAACCAAGAATAAACTAATTTGAAGAATAAATTATTTAGAAAAGTGTTTTAACATTTTCATATGGTAATAAAATTTCCACAAAATTCATCATTATTTATGGTTATCTTTTAATTGCTGAATTTCTAATTTTATTGCATCAGTCAGAGAATATAACGTTTACAATTTCCACTTGGTAGAATTTATTATTGTGTTCCTTATAACTATGCACATACTTGGTTTTTTTGTTCCACAGGGTATAAGGGGAGTATTTTCTTTTAAATATAAAGCTCTTTATGAACAAAATCCTTACTTATTTTTTTCTATACTTTGTCAAACTCTAAAAGAAAATCTGAGTTTTTGTTTTTCTTCTCCCAGAATCTCCTGGTGTTTCTAAGGATTTTTGCTTTATACACATCGGCCTATGTTTTTGGTAAATAAAATTTATGATAAGAAAAATATTGTTATGATAAGAAGAATTTAGATAATGGTAGACATAAAAAATCAAACAAATACACAAATCCTAGTAAGTTAGTTACAAAATATAATGAGAAAAAGATCCCATTCATAATAAAAACAAAAATGTAAAACACCAAGGAATTGAAAAAAGTGCTATCTATATAAATAAAATGATATATTATTGTTAAAGAACATTAAAAAAAAAAATAAGAAGAGAGACCATGACAAAGATGGTAAAAGCCATATTACAAAGAAAACAGTCACTCCCATATTAACCACACAAAAAATTTAAGACAATCCAATGATTCTGTCGAGGAATTTAATTTTGTAAATAAGGTACCTCTGTCTGAATAATGTTTAATAGTTTGAGAAGTGAGGATGAAGGGCATTTGCTCTCTGTTACCAAAATATCCTCTAAGGTACAGCAAATAAAATGGTGGTGCTAACAGATTAAAAAAAGAGTAAAAGTCCAGAAAGATCGATATGTTAACAGGTTTAAAGTTCTAATAGGTGGCTGCATTTTCTCTTAGCG